GGGGGGGGGGGGGGGGGCATCCTAACCGGGGGGAAAACTCCGTAGTTTACGGTGTGTTCCTAGACTGCCGAGAGTTGTTGCGTTTACGATATGGAAGAAAGGCGGCCGCATACTGATCCTCCTGCTTCACAAATGGGTGCTGTGTAGCCGGAAAAGCTGCTGTTGCAGAGAGGACTCTGCGACAGCGAAATGACGACACAATTGCACCCAATGTTCCATCGAATGGAAAAAGTAAATCAGATGTGGACGAGAAATGTGCAACAGCACTTTCGTCTTGCCAGCTTTGGCCAGACACGGACTGCAGATGGATGCGGCGCATTTCGTTGTCGTCTGCGATGCTTCCGCAATTGCCGTGGAGCCGCGCGCCACATCATTTTTGACAGCGTTGCCCATGAGGGGGTTCTGCCGAAGTGTCGGGCGACTTGCACAATTCACCTTCCGCACATGGCATGGTGCCCCTCTACGTAAAGCTGCAGGGTGTGTAGATACACGTGGTGTACACCACGGTTATTGCGGCTCGCCCTCAATAACGCCGGTGTGGCGCTAATGCGGACTCTGGTTGTGCCGAAAATTTCACCGGTGCTATAGCGGGCCACCGGCGTTATTCAACCGGCGTTATTGAGGCCCCCCCACTGCATATATATGGTACCGTATATATTTTTTCTCCCATCATTGGACTCTGTCGTCTGCCCCTCTGGCCCCTATCCTCCACTTCTACCAGCTAGCCGACCCAACCGGGGTCCCATAGGATGGGGGGTTTGGACCCCCTCCTGCGGTTCCTGCCAGAGATATTTTTATCGCGAGAAGGGTACAGCAATCCCTTCCCTTGCGACCTACGAAGTCGATTATGGTTACTAACAACGAGCTTTGCAGCGCGTCGCTTTCATCCTAGACCAGGATATATTTAGTGAGAAAACACTCACGCTGCCGGGACTCGAACCCATGACCTGGCCTTTAGCAGGCTGCGAGGGTACCCACTAGACCACCGGGGCGACCAATGTTATTCATATGTATTCACCTCGTGAACTTCCTGATCCTCCCCTTCCCCCACGTTTTCGTCAAAAAAAGTAAACGAATCTTGGTGATCTTCAGCTGACCCGGGAGCCCAAAGTCGTCGGGCGACGTAGGAAGGGGAGTTCGTCATATTTTGTAGGAAGCCGCCGCTGCACGCACTCTTCGCTCATCGGGTGGACGCTCTCGCCGAGTTCCAATTCTTCATTTTTCACAGTGGACGCCGTGAAGGCCCTTCCCTCAGCCTGGGTCACGGTGTGCGATTCCCCTGAGATGCTCCCCCTGTGCCATCGTTGTCTTCGCGTGGCCACTGCTGTTTTTGGTCAATCAAACGAGGAACGTTCCGTAGGTCTCATGAATACTCGTTTGCACTTTAGAACGAAGTGAATACGATTTGTATTCCATTTCACTCCTCAGTAGCCCCACTATTTCCACAAAACATATGTCATGCCAGTTTCATTTTTCTGCTAAACCCCTTCGACGTTGCTCTTAACTTAAAAACTTCGTCACCAGCTGACATATCCATACTCACACACAAAAGGCACTATATTCACTTTTCCCCCCGAACCTCCACAACATACAATGCAACAACACAGTCATCTACAAGCTACGCGCTTTAGTTTCCGTGATGTTCGCATTTCGATCGGAAACGCTGATCCCGTCCGTCCCAGCGGCAACCTGAAACCGCAACTTCCCCTTCCGTCAACAAATACCTATTGTTGTGGCTGTGGCCGTCCCGCTCGGGGTGAGTGCGGCCCTAACCCTAACCCCAACCTCTACCAACAAGACCACATAGTTTTTCACTAAACGGGAGAAACAAAACACAACAATGGAACGAAAATACTCGGTAGATTGCACAATCGCGAGGCGTGAGTTCAGCACAAGGCATCGTTCCACACGGGCATCGCTATGGGACGAATTTACAACAACAATAAATCTCCCGCACTCAATTCAGGCGTACCGACCACCCCTTTTTAAGGCCACACCCAAGGAACTCACAACTGCTGCTGCTCTAAAGCTTCAAATAAATATTTTGCCCTGTGAGCGCGGATCTCCTGAAAGCAACCTGCCGTGCCCCACGGACCATCTTGAGATGCCGCCGCTTCACCGCGTGGCGCTGGGAGGGCACTGCGAGGTGATGTATTGTTTTCGACGGAAAATGATTATCGACCCCTCCCATCGCGAAACGCAAACCTTGAATGTAACGAAATCCAAGGTTTCTCAAGGTGATCCAAACCTATATCCTTGCTCCCTGTGAAATCCAAGGTTTCCCAACGTGATCATCCAACCTACATACTGATGCCAAGCTAATGGAAGCCACCCATCCGCATGATGAAAACAAGTGATACTTGGGCAGGGTTGACCCCCAAAATGGTTACATTCGCATAGCGGTCGACGTTTCTCCTCCTCCACGCCCCAAAGCACGGCACAGCCTCGCCAGTATCGAGCATCGACCAAAATGTTGACAACGACGAGGCCACCAGTTGCCGTGGCAAGAGGGCTTGCAAACTCCACACAACCTTTTGTCTTTATCAAGTCTCTCAAGACAGCCGGAACGCCCGCGCAATGGTTGGGTACAGCCGACTACAAGGTTTCTCCCTACTTCGCGGCAACGTAACACCCTATAACCCTAACCCAGAAACACCAAGAGCGTGGTGATGGAAAAAATCTCTCAAGTGCCTGCTGACGGCGCGTTCTGTCGTCGCCGACGTATGGCTGATGTAGCATGTCCTTCGTGCGCAGTAATCATGTCCACGGATTCGTCTCTAGTGCAAAATATGTCATCTCAAGGAGGACATGAGACTTCCACAAGGGTCACCGACGCCTGGATGTTAGGGTCACTAGCATCTGTTCACGACGTTCTATTACCTACCACCATTATTGGTTTACTCCAAGTATCACTTCCGCATTGAGCAACGAAACTCATTGCGGCTTTGTGCTCTGGATTCAGTTTTTCCACGATATGCGAAGGGAGTCACTCCGAGTGTTCGCCCGCTCCGTCATTGACGTTCGAAACATCGAATCGACAGTCACCAGTCAAGCCTCCGGCATCAACGCAGTCACGACCATCCCCTCCGCCCAACGGAAAAAAAACCCGAACACATTTTTCACAATCCAAAACCCTCGCGTGCAGCGGAGGTTTCTACGTGCTGCTCATCGCAGCGCGCACGGCGGGGAGACGCGAACAGCACAAGCGTGCGACCTCTCCCCCCTCACTTGTCCCGCCCCGGCATTGCTGCCGTGGGCATCAGAAAAGTCCATCGCGACCGAAAAATCGGCGGCACCATTTACGCTCGGGACGGCAGTCGCTGCCCGCCAAAGCGGGGTTCAGTCCACGAAGTCATCGCCGGAATCGCTTGCCTTCATGGGCGTAACGTATCAGCGTCAGCAGTATCGTCCGCAGCGTCTGCACCACCTGCAAGACGGCCTTCCGAGGACATCGTTTCGGGACCTTGGGGTGGCGCTGCGGATGTTGCTATCGGCGCCAGCCGTCCGGCCCGAGGTTGACTTCGTTGCCACTCTTTCTTATCTCTATTTCTCCCGCTGCCTCCGATCTCCTCGCCCCTATCCGGAGAAACGCTAACGCCCGAGTATTTTACAGCTCCGAGGGGCGTGGACGCGGTGTCGTGTCTTCCTCCTCCTCCTCCGTTCTTCAGCGTTAAGTCTGATTGCATTGTTCGTGGAAAGTAACAAACGCGTTTGATATAGCGGGCGCTGGAGGATAGTCGAAAGCAGCGTCAGCCCCGAGAGTGGCAAAGCGGAAGTCGCTGACGCGACGGACATATTCCTTTGATGTTGCACGTGCGACGGAACTCGTGGATAGACCAGCGTATGCATCGCAATAAAATGTACCACACGCTCACGAGTGAAGTATAACACCAGCAAGCCATGGCTGTATGCGCCTCCAATCCAAAGCCGAACTAGGACGCAGTTGGTTTGTCAAATGCTCCGCCATACTTTGCACCAGAACCTGATTTTCGGAACCGAAAACCCCACCGGCTTTAGGGCCGGGGAAGCAGCATCTGGGTTGTATCTCGCCGCGCTGCCAACAACAATAGCAACAACAGCCGCGACAAGAAAAGCATTACCTTGTGGCGGGCCCTTGGGTACGAGCTTGTAAAGCGTAACGCCAACCATGGTGACGAAAAAGCCGAGCCCCGTTCGTCCGCTCAGGTGCTCCCCCAGCACCAAAACCGAGAACATCACCAGCAGCAGCTCCTGTTGCGTTGAGGGGCACAGCAGAATGGAACCCCCCAAAAGGGGGTGCGTCGTCATGTTCCTTCGGGCGTATGCCGGACCCTAGAGACGGCGTGGACTCGGTAAGCATTGCACTTGTGACGACAATTCTCAGAGATCGGGATAGGTCCGCCTTCGTACTATTCATTCTGGTTCCAGTCCAGGCCCTTCGGTGAACAAATCACTCACGTATCGGTCGGGTTCAAACGGCGAGGGGGGCCCACGAGGTGTGTTTCCTACTGATTCACGTGACTTGGTGTACTTTATGGCGTCTCCAGCAAGAATGCTCACCTTGACTACAGCGATGATGCACAGGCTTAACGAGGATACCCTCCTGATGAAAGAAAACTCCGCCAGGACCAGCATGAAGGCCAGGAGCGAAACGGCCACGATCATTAAGCCCGTCTGTCAATAGAGAGAGAGAGAGAGAGAGAGAGAGAGAGCGAACAATGGGCAGACAACTAGGTTGTTATCATGCGGCAAAAAAAGCATACGGAACCAAATCACGATACGACAGGCAGGCCACGTCATTGAGTGATAACACACCCGTGAACAGTATGACGTCACGCTACGTGTTCGGTCAGTCCACTCGATTTGCACCGGTCGCCCCGGTGGTCTATTATCGTGGTATCCTCGTAATCCGCTAGTTGCAGAGGTCGTGAGTTCGAATCCCCATGGGGTGAAAAATTTACGAGATGTGCGGGTGAAAGCGAAATATACCTGACAAGCTCTCGTGAGTACCAAACTTCGACGTTAGCACCGTTGACGAGGGCAAAGGACGGCTGGACCCTTCTCGCGATAAAAATAAAATTCAGCACGCACCGCAGGAGGAAGGTGAGGCATGAAAAGAAATACAAAGGAGAAAAAGCCCTGGTGTTTACCGTCTCCTGTGTGACCCTGGATGGTTGTAGTTGTACGAAAAAATCACTGAAAAGTGCAGTACTCTAGATACATACGCTGAAAAGTGTAGAACACGTCTCACCACGAAAAATGGGGGCCTGTCGCCATAATAGACAGGACGAAAAGACACACACACACACACACACACACACACACACACACACACTCGATTTACCGCACCTTGACCATCCGATGACCGCTGAAGGTGACGGCCATTTCGTGCAACGACCCCAGTTCGAGGGTCAGGGCAAAGGGCACCAAGGAAGCAGCGCTCGACAGGCTCCTGTTGCCATAGACGGCGGTACGGCGGCAGTAGCACGGCGCACTCGTAACCGATCCGTCCATGTGTAGCCAGGATCAGAGGCATGCAACCCACAACACGATCACGATAGGATCATACACCAAGGTAGGATGAGATATAAAGTACGCATAGCACGGAACGTTGTTGATCGCCGGTTCGCAGGAACCGCGGTCTTCTGTCTTCCTACTTTCCAACCATATCTCTTAACGCAGTGTTGTAGGTCGCCAAAAAATATGCTGCCCCTAGAGAACGCTGCATGGCTAGAACAATCGAACACTGCATACACACCGGCGAATGCGGGGCCGAAACCGCAGGGAGAACGGCGCGGGACTACGGCAACCCTTGGACATTTCCAAGATGTCTTTATTGCTGTGTGATAATACTGCTGCGGTATAATTATGCTGCTGTATGCACACATCCCATCCGTTCAAGCCTAAGGCGTTGCACGGGCGAAAACATCTTGCCGCACAAAGTTAGTGAGTGCACCGCGAAAAAATACGAAATACTTCACAGCCCGTACTCATCACTGTACCAACATAGTGGTGTGGTGGGACAAAGCATGGACAACATGATCAAGCTAAACTGTCCAAAGTCGGAGAAAGTTCAGCAGGAACGTGGAGTGTTTAGAATACCGCGCACTCCGTGACGACATGTCCTTTGCCAGCCAGCGCACACAAGTTAAAACCCGTAGGACACCCAAGACAGACACGAAGGAAGAGTCGAGTGAGCTGCACCAGGCGCCACACCCGTCGTAATCTTTCTTGACTTCCATGATTCGTACTTACATGTAGTGGAGTAGTGTGAAGGGGTGAATGTGTTCACCCACGGTGATTGCCCCCTTCCCGTAGAGCCCTCTACCCTGGAGCAACACCTGGTGAGACGACAAGGAAAAACAGCAGCGCAACGAGAGACCTCAACCAGACCTCCGTTACTTTACGAATGCTCACAACTCCAGCCCTCTCGGGACTATGCATGTCCCTCCAAGCACTTTCACGGGTAGAGTACCGCGAGTGCCCTGGAAGAAACGAAAGGTAAAGAGCAGACAAGACAACACCCTTTTCACGGACGTATATTTTGACTTGAGCTGATGCCGCCGGCGTTGCTACTATTGCGCTCTTGATGCCAAAAAGTGATCTCAACCTCTTCACCTAAGTTCCGCTTCCGTCATTTCTCACGTAGAATCAAACGTCTTGCACGACCAACCACGATCGAAAACCGGGTCCCGCAGAAACCGAGCCCCGCCTACGAACACAGCAGCGCACCTGAGACAGCGTCCACTTGAGGCCCGCCAGCATTCCGCTGAGCAGGGTCAGCAGGAAGCCGTCCATGGGGAAATTTTCCTCTTGGTCGCTCCGCTGTCCCGAGAACAACAGGGTCACCCCCCCGCTCACCAGCATCACCACCGCCAACAGCCCACACCGGAACTCCTGCGGGGCACAAGATATAATCAGCCAGCGTGCACGGTGTCCGGGACAGTGTTAGGTCACCCTCGGGCTACGAAACGATACGGGACACGCGCCATTTCCTCTTACCAAGATGAACACGGTAGCTGCACATTGAAACAGCAGCTACCACTCGAGGGTGCGTACAAGACCAGCGGCTTGCGTGTGTCACGGAACACGAGGGGTATACCTTCCAAGCTCGACGATCAACAAGTGTCACGGAAAAAGGGTCCGTTGCAGAACCCATCGAAACAGCTTCCTTAGAAAGAAAACACAATCTCACAGAAATACTACCCGTTCGACATAAACCACAGCAATAGTCGAAAGGGATGTACTGAAGTTTTCAGTGAGTGGAAGGAAACCGGCCGGAAACTGGGCTTATTTTGAGTTTGTTTAAGCCCATACGCCTTTGGAAACGGCTCCGCGTTGTGCGCAAAAGGGCCGGCATCAACGTCGCGGTCGAGGGAGGTAGCCGACATCAACCCCAGGAACCGGGTGATGGCAACAGAAAATGGGAGCTGTATACGGAGGTTAATGTAGGTACAGAAACCTATTGCATGAAGTAGAGAGTCGGCTAAGGTCGGGTTGGGGTTAGGGTTTGGGCGTCTCCTGCCTGGTCTTTCTTTCGAAATAAACTTACTCTGCGTAGGTCCAAAGGGGGAGGCAAACTCGACATCGTTCTTGCCGGCAGTCAGCTCCGTAGGAAAACACGAAGAAATGCGGTGTTATATGTGTTGTATAATAGCTCTCTCTCTCATACCTGCAGCCCCATCCCGACGGAGAAGAGAAGGACGAAGATCGGCACCGTTGATCTCACCATCGTGTGGACCCCCACGTGCATCACTTTCAAGCCAAGGGCGCTCGTGCCCACCTGTACATTAATGAGTGGAAAAAACACAAAGACCGCCCAGCACAAAGCAATCAACTAGGTCGCCATGATGCCATGTCGGGCAAGACGCGATCATGTGCAGAGTTGGCATCACGTGTGCCGCCCAAACATCGAAACGCTGTACGCACTACAGCCCGGTTAACTCGGCGTGCTGCTTTAACGATCTGTCCACGTCGTCAATGAACACCCATATTTCGATCCGTTTCAGCATCGTCCTGCCACACTTTTCACACCGTTCCCTGTCATTGTTCAGGAATCTACGCATACGTTGTCGCCACGCATATTGCGTTCAATATCCATCGCCACTCAACTCCACACGCCAACGCTACGCATAAAACACGCAGCCCTTACTCTGCATCCCACGCAAGATAAAAAACAAGAACGGTTGTTTTTCCACGCTGGACCAGGATTGCTGTGTCAAGGCGTGGACGGCACTCGCACACCTCTAGCCCAGACGCCGCCGCCACCGGAAAAACCTTCCACGCCCACTGGTGCCACGATACACGTTGCACGAGGTGACTCGCGTCCCCGCCCCCTTCCCCTTCCTCGACGCCTCGATGTCTCAACCACGTCCGAGTAGACAGGCTGACCAGGTGCATGATCAGGTACGTGAGAGAGATCAGCGTGAGCGGGGCGTTGAAGCCCATTCCTGTCGGAAAGCACGAGCGGGTAAACACGAAGGTCGGTCAGTTGATACGTTGATACTGTAGCTGTGGTTGTACTCGAGAGTTGCTCGCAGAGTAGGGGCGGGGTGCTGTCGGTGGAACGCTGAGGCGTCATCGGCACCACGGTGCAACGGCATGCGTCGGTGGTGTTGCTCTCCTCCAAGCACGACGGCTGGGTCTTCCAGCTTGCAAAGCGGCGGCACCGTGGCTTGGTGGCTCCCATGGGGTTGACAACACAAGGTAAGCGACAACGCCGACAGCCATGAGGGGGGCCCGTTCTACAATACGGCAATTTTCAATTTTCCAGATAGAGCCCCCACCCAGCAAGTGATGCTTTGTACGCGTGTGAGCCGCGTGCAAAGGACGGGGCGAAGTCAGGAGGGGAAACGGTAAAAGGGAGTTGTTCTCAAAGTACAATCAACATCATTACAGCCGCGAGAGCAGCCGCAGCGGCAGCAGCATCGAGGAAGAGGGGACGTGACCGCTGGAGGTATCCATCTACATGTGCATAGCCGCACATGGGCTCGTGGCGACCAAGCACACACGGCAGCAGCGGAGAACAAAGTACACCATTCATTGCTGTCATCAAGAAGAAGAAAGCAGTGAAAACTACCTATATGCTAACTTCCACCCACCTGTCATGAGCCACTTGTCGAGTAGCGTGAGCGACATCGACACCCACATGTAGAGCAGGATGATACCCAGGATCAAGTTCACCTGCTTGATGCAGAATCAGACCGCAGCAGGAGAGGGAAACCATATTCAGCAGTAGAAGTGCCTCCTTAGTGCCGGTATGTGCCAAGAAAACTCACCCGCACTATAGCGGGCCGGAACTATTCAAAGTATTGAGAATGTCTTAGAATTCAGTGTGTGACCGCCTACAACACCGCACTAGACTATACCGAACCGCAACTAAATAGACTATTCAACCCTACATGTACGTATGTACAGGAACTCTACTGCATGTTCGTGAGACACTTGCAACGCTGCTGTCAGCGACAATCACTCTCGTTGCAATACCATAGGTCGCAGCTTCTGTAAGTCTATAAACCGCATACCGCAGTTTACCCTTACCGCAGTTACCGTCTGTAGCCCACCGCCACCAACTTGGTTGGGCAAACGGGCCAACAACCATCGCAGCAAACCCAAGGGGCAACCCGAAGCGCAACTTTTGGGCGGATCATTCCGAACCAAGAATATACTCCGCCACAGCTGCTCCGCAAACTGCCCGGAGGTATATACGCTACGCGTGCCGGCAGCCGGCAGCTTTTTTGCAGCCTTGATCTGGGAATCTCGCATTGGTTACAAGAGAGGGAGAGGAACTCTACATCAAACTGGAAGTGGTGCACTGAGAGATGTGCATCTCCAATACACGCGTGGTTCGCACACCGTGGCCGCCGTGAAGCAGCAAGCCGAAAGAACACTACGCTCGCTACCCCTTTGCTTGTAGAAAGAGGCGATCGGCTACGGTGGTGGAACTTACAAAGTTGTCAACTCGCAAGCACCTCCTTCCGTCCTCTCGCACCCCACTCACCTGCACTTTCCGACTGCCGCACCGCATAACTCCACCATCATCCGAATTGGCATGGACCAGAGCTTGCTGACGTGCGCGGCCGCTGGACTTCGAAACTAGGACATGCTCGATGTCTCCCTCCTGCTCCTCGGTGCTGCTTACACGATTGAATCCACGGCGGCGGTCACCATAACCACCACGGGCCTCGACCATGCCCACCGAATGCCGTGAAGCCCTCCCACTCCTCCCGATCAATCGCGAGTTGTCACCAGCATTCCAAACTAAGTTTGGGGAGCCCAGGAGCCAGTTCTTCTTTTCGGGATTTGTTTGCGAGGGGCTTCGCACGTTGTAGCCCACCCCCCCCTCGTCCGGGACTGTAAATTACTCATTTTTGCATGATTTGATGATGATGGATTTGGACGTCAGGCGTCACCACGTGCTGGTGCGTGACCATGTGCGTGCTCTGCTTGACCGCTCGCTGGATCTCATCCTGCTTTAAACGGCGGGCGTTTAGTTCTCTCTTTGGTGTTTTCGGCCCTCAATCATCACGGGCGACTTTGGTTGCCAGGCAGCACAGCAAATTTGAATTTTTTATTTAACGACGCGCCGCCCCCATAAAACGGCCACGCCCGTTATCTCTCGCCATGCGGACGTTTCAATCGCGTTTTCCACTACTATTCTGTCAGTTTTGCCCTTCACATGTTGTGCACTACGTAGTCCGTTTTTTTTTCGATTTCATCAGATCTGCTTCCTTTGCCGGTGTTCACATCGATTGCGGGTCCAGGTTAAGATCTCTGATATTTTTAAGTATTCGCGTTTGCCTTCTCTGAAGCCCGCTCACTTGTTGCGAATGATACACATGATGACTACATTTCGTAGGTGCGAGGTCGCGGTTCTTCTCCTGCTGGCGATTTTCAATTTCCTCGTGTTTGTTAGGCCCTTTTGTTAGCAAGTTTGTGTGTTACAAGTATTTTGTTCTCACCCCTTGCTTCCCTTGCTCCCGGTTCAGCGACGACATCTTGAATTCCATGACAAAAACTCGCTGCAGGATGTTCCTTTCGGTTGGCTGCACCCCGAGAGAGCAGAGTCCCAGACGCAACACGGTTTTGCAACGGTCTCCTTGCATCATCGTCCGCGTGTGGTTCATCACGAAAGCCTGCCGATTGTAGCGGGACTCACTCTCACTCTTTGCCCCGCAGGCTGGTCAGATTGCCCGACGAGCTGCTGGCTTTGAATAGACGGGGCGCTCGATTGATCAATTCGGGACACTTACCGCTAAAGGCACGAATCTTGGCCAGCCAAAAACAGCAGTCATCGAATACACTCACTTTCCCGAGGCAACCACAACAGAGGGAAGCTCGACGATTCTCGAGGAGCGAGAGTCAAAACTGGCGAGTAAAATATTTGATCCACAGAAAATAACCTAACCTTTCTGCATGTAGCACTCTGAACATACAACTTCAGGTCTAAGTTGCAGTGATTTCACACACGTGCAACAACGGGTGGGCGGCACTGCTAACCTCAACACACTCGCGCTCTAGTCTAGCTCCCACAGCCGTGGCTCTGCACACAGGCAGCCTTAGTGTAAGGTGAGACAGCTCCAGGATGCTCGAACGCTTGGACTGCCCGACTCCCACTGGCGATCAGTTCTATCTGTCCTGTAGAAGACGGACCTCAAAACCGACCCCTACAGAAGCTAGCCGACTTGCTCAGCGGTCCTGACGACCGACACCCCAATCCTTATATCCTTTGCCTGCTGTCCCTCAGGAAGGTCCTGGGATCCACACAAACCAGGTGCAACCTAGGCCACGAAGCATAGCATCCATTTGAGAGGCACGGGATGAACGTCGTGTAGCTTCTCGCCCTAGTTTGCCTGGGCAACTCTAGCCTCATGGTGTACAAGTCCAACACACTTCTCCCCGTGTCGCAGCCTGCAGTAGCGGTGCCCTCTCTATACGGTCCCGATTTTGTTCACAAGCTTGTACTCGAGTACAAGGAGGTCTTCCAACCTCGCAAAGCGCACGATCATACGATCGCCACGCTCAGCTTGCCGCAACAAATCGACATAAAGGCGAGATAGAGTATCGTCGGCAATTTTCACCGAACCCACCCTTGTCTTCAGCAATCGCCCTGCAGCGGCTTGCCTCTAAACTAAGTTCCCCTTCGCACAGGTTAGCTTATTGCCACCTTTTCCTTCATGAGCGTCGACTTCTCCTTGAACAGGAAGCCAGGCAGAGGAGCCCGCTTTGCTGGGAGCAACTTCTCCGCTGCAGCCTTCGTCTCGGGGGGCACCAGGTCTATGTAGAAGTCCAGCACCTTGTTGATGTCATCGTAGAAACCATACGCCTGACAAGAACGAAAGAAGAAAAAAAAACGACAACAAGAAGACAAAAGAAAACAAGAAAGGAGAAAAGAAATAAAACCAGGAGGAAGCCGACGGCAAGAAGGCGTGCAATGGGTGCGGGCGGGAACTTAGGATGACTTACGCATCGAACAATTGTAAGTGTACGCTCGAGGCAGGTTCAGCAGTACGGTGCTCCGGCGAGGTAGGCTTGCAGCACCGGTGTTGAAGCCAACGAGGAAAGAACGGGACCGTTCGCATGTGCCACGCGGCCAGATCAGGAGGCAATCCAAAACGTGGGATGGAATTCTGTACCCCACCAGAAAAAGTGGGCTGCATCTCTGTGATACGCCACCACCAAAAAAACTTCAGACAAAAAAAAATAGGAAACCATTTTCGCCGTCTAGAACATGCCGCAGTGTGTTGGGAGCTGTGAGATGCGAAGCTCCGCATCTGCGTGAAACAGCGCGCCCAGAATCTATTCGTCTTTCGTGCCCAACAAAAGATAACACACGCCGGAAAACACAGCAGCACAACTACTCAACAAGTTCGCCGCACGAAAGGGGTGTTGAACGGTGTGGTGCCTCGAGTGTGGCCCGAGTGTCATGTTGGGCAGGCACTGCATGCCAAAAACGTCGCGGATACTGCGCACGCTGCTCATCAACGTTTTCAGCAAACGAGATAACAGGCAGCCAAACTTATCCAACCCAACAAACATTGCTGGGAACTCTATCCCCTACTGAGCCTTGAACAACCGAACACTGCATGGCACAAAACAAATTTTTCACCTGTTTGAGGTACTTTTCCGCCCCCGGGGGGAGCACGCCTTCGGCGTCGGCAGGGATGAAGATGATCGTGTATACAGAAGAGTCGAAGTTGGTGAAGAGGGCCTCTACTTCTTGGGCCATGTCGAACGCCTTCTCAATCTAACAAACACCGTGCGTTTGGTCAAAATACAGCAAACGTTGGTCCATCGGAGGCAGTTCCCGGTCAGCTCGGCGATCGATGATGCTTGCGGGCAGCAAGCTTGGCGGATTACCGTCTCCATTGACATCACGGTAAAGTCCCGTCTGTTAGACAGAATGCCAAGTCGGGTTCAGTCTTTGCCAGGCTCGCGCACGCAACTCAGATGATTCTTGACAAACCTATGGTCGAGAATGCCGACGGGCTTCAAACGGAAAAACGTTTGAGGACGACCGGAAACGAAACCTGCTAAATCCCGGGCAAAAAATCATACTACGGCAAGACAGGCAGGGTCGTTTGTTTTCAACACTTTTCCGCATCGTCGACGACATCGTACGCCTAAAAGATTGACGCCTCGACCCCCCCCCAAAAAAAAAACTGCACTAATGCATGAAGACGGGCGTGGTTAACTACCGAAGTCGCGATCGTCAAGAGGCAAACTTGCCGTATCCGGGTCGTCCACGACGTCGCTAGCTTGGACGATAAACGAGTCGATCTTCTTCTTGAGGTTGAAGAAGCGCGTAATGTAGTTGGTGTTGGTTCGTGCAGCGTCGAACTGCTCCGCCTTGAGGTACTGTAGGGTGGGCTTGAACACTTCCTGCAAACGATTGGTGTATGTTTTGGTCGACATCATCCATGCAAAGTGAGACCACAACATGAGACCACAAAACATGCATCGGAAGCAACACGGAAGAAAATGCGTCAACAAATTGGGCTTTCACTTTCATACCCACCGACGTTCCTCCGTGGTTCCAAATCAGGCTTACTTGTATCGTGTGTGTGGCGATGATCTGTGTCTGCAAAACACGCGTCGCACCATCAATAAGGTACGCATGCTGACACCTGTTGCACGACTAACTCTTCCGACTTACGGTTGCATTGATTGTAACGACACGATCTGGTTGGTTAACGAAAATTACAACCAGACGCTTCAAGAGGAAGCAGCCGTTCTTGAAAAAAACAGTACTGATGGGCAAGTTACTTCATTGGCTGATTTCGACCACACTGCTGTGGCACCCCAACACACACCGACAGAAAGCTGACGACACTGCTATAATAATAGCAGGCGGCGTGGAAACACCCAACATATCAACATGTCCACATCGCCCGCCACGCAAGGCAAAATAAAAGCAAGGGAAACGAGAAAAAAATCGAGTCTGCGGGGAGAGGGACGAAGATATTTGACCGGGACATACACGAGGAAACAAGACCGAGCGCACGCGAATGCTCACAGCGAAGATGAGGGAATGTGCCCCTCAACTACAACTGCTGGCGAGTGCCCTCGTTCTGTGCACGAGGCATCACCGGAATGTCTTCGAGGGAAACCAACTCCACCTACGGGGGGACCGGAAACCGTGCATTCCCCAGCCTTCAGTGACTTTCATCGTCCTGATTGTTGTCAGTTCATGCTGTTGATAGGGACAACAGCCACTTCCGGGTGGAGAGCTCCGCATGTACCTTCCGTGTGCACGGTGCTGACTCGTGCCATCATGTCCGATGAACCTTACGACAACATAGAGTGGGCAACGCGTGTCTTGGTGGATGCTTCATCCCCAAAACCTTTACTACCAACCTTGCAGATCATGATATCGGCCTCTAGCTCTTCGAGACTCTGCGCTGCCGCCTCCGCCCGCTTGGACAGCGCCGGAGAAAATGCCGTCGCCAGCCCCAGCGCCCCCCCTCCAAGCACGGTTTTGACGTACTCCCCCCGCGAGCTTCCCGCTGTTGTCCGACGACACAAAAGGACGACGGAGTGGAGCGATTTTTCGTGCAAACAGACGTGACGGGGTACGGGGTTGCACAAATGAGCACGCCATACAGCGACTCGCTTGCTTGGCTGCCCTTTGCGTACCCAGAGCAAGATCTTGTGTACGCCTAGGATAAATGCGTCCGATAAAATAACACAACGTCAGGTATTGACCCACAGAGAAATGGGTAATGCATTGTAACGAATACCAGCGGTGCTTTACACCATCAGGCAGCGAGTGGAGCACATCTTATTACATGTGGTTTTCAAAGCACCGTGTGCCACACAAGATAACACCGGTACTTTTATTTCAACCTTGACATGCATACGTCCAAGTACAAAATTTTCCACCGTGGGTGGTGTGTGGTAACTTCGTTGAACCTAGTACTCGATTCGAGAATATTTTTTAGCGTTGGGCGAATGCTTAGCCGCAAGAGCATCGTCACCGGCCGTGGTATAGCAGAGCATCTCATGATATCGAGGAGTAGGTGGTATCTTCATCTTGCAGTGGAATTCGGCAAGTTGGAGATCGATGATCTTACACAAGAATGCGTAACTTCGTAATGCATGTTGATCTGTTGACGTGTTGACATGTCGACTTTTCAAAGCCAGGACGGAGACAAATAGATCGCTATTGTGTGTCAGCACACGCCCCCCCACCTTATTCTGACACAGGCAGGCTACAGTAGTACAGAGAACGAGGGAGGGGAATGCACCCTGGGCACGTGCACCCAGAACGGTATTGTTGTAGTGTAGACTAAAGGCCTTTGCACGTTTGCGTTGCATGTTGTTGTCGCTGTGTCCCGTATAAAACATCACGAGACCAGGAGTAGCGAATCGTCTATGGATGCATATGGGTCTCGCAGCATGCCTTTAGAGGCAAAAAATTGTAGCATCGGAGCAGGGTCTTTGCGCGCAGAATCGAGTATGCAAACCCGCGGCCGTTCCATGAACGTAGCACAGCAGCTTGATTCATTGCCCTTTCTCCGTGTACGTGGGACCATGCTGGCGCAACTGTGAGAAAAAATGAGTCATGCACGAGATATGTGGACTCGGATACATACACACACAGGAACACAGACCAAAAATCTGACAAAAATTGTGAAGAGGTGCAACTAAGTTGCTCTGACCCCCACCTAGTAACATGGACGGTAGCACATGTTGCCGCGCGGGACATCGCCCAGCAACCGACGCTGCTGCTGATGTGGATCCCGCTGCTGATTCTGCATTTCCCAGGCACAATCCTGGCAAGAAGCCTGGACCGGCAAAGCCCTGTGCCCCCATGACGAGCATGAGCATCCCCACTACATCACACGAGCGCATCATGTTTCGAGTGGAGTCGGAACACGAAGAGAGGTGGGATGGCAGCACCACTCTGCTCTTTGCTCTGCCCATTGCTCGGCCGCCTTCCTGCTGCGTAGCAAGGGGGCTCCGCGATTAACGTTAACGTCTCTCCGCCCTGCTGTGTCGAAAGGGATACCTACGTATCCCATGTCTCCTTTGGTTTTCCGTCTGCGAGTTGCGAGTCCCCCCCGCCACGTTTGGTTAGGTTCCGCCGCACCCAACCCCACATTGCGCCGCTCGTCGCGGGAAAGAGGCAAGCCACTGGAACGAGAAAGAGGAAGCGGGGTGTGTGGAGGGCAAGGAAGAAGATCGTGAAGCTGCGGAGATGTCCTCGCCAGTGCCTCCTGAGACGGGTGGTGCTTACATCTACGATGCCAGCACGTTCTTGAAAGGATTGAGATCAATCTCCTTGAGGAATCTGTCCTTCAGGTGCGTGGAATACAGCACCTCGGCACTGATGCTGTAGTAGCGTGCAGCATCAAAATTCGAGTCTGTACGTCTTTGTGCTTATCTCTACGCCTATGCCCCACAGCTGTACCTTTCTCTATATTTCGCTCTCTAGTATTGCTGCCTTGAGCAATTGCACTACAGCTGTATTGTTCCTGCGGTGGAAACTCAAACTCCGTCTCCGCACCCTTCCACAACTGCTGCTGTAGGCACCGCCTGTAAGGTGTGCTACTATATTGTAGGCAGAGCGATCTTCCTGTTTCAAGACCATATGCAGCAGTGGTGCAAGCGGGCTGACATACTAGAAACATATCCACAACCAATCGGCGGTCACGATTTTTGAAACATAATAGAATACATGTGCATAAGGCGTATGCACATGCGAAACTGCTCAGCCGACGGCACTATCTTCAGATAAAGTCCTTACTCTATGTAGGTAGCATGGCAACAGCGAGCCGTTGTTTGCATTCATTTCATATGTACATATAAGGACAATACTGCTTGTTCATGGCTGTAGATTTTCGGCAAATGATAGAACCATGCCGAGTTAGTCTAGCGTAGGTGTTTATATCGAGCGGGCCGACCCTTCTGCCGCTACTCTACAAATATCTCAGGCAGGAAGCGCAGGAGGGGGTCCAACCCCCCCCTCCTATGTGATCCCGGTTGGGTCGTCCACCTGGTAGAAGTAGAGGATAGGGGCCAGAGGGGCAGAAGACAGAGTCCAATGATGGGAAAAAAAAAAAAGACAAACTAGCCGATTGGACTCATCAGTGCAGTCTTCCAAGGCACATCCTGCATTGTTGTATGCTCGAGACTAAGCTCCGGGGTACGTGCGCGTCGACCCGCATACGCACCGTACCCATGTTAGTGCAGATCGTGCTAAGGAACTGCGGGCAGGCGGGTGGCCGCAGGAGGCGTCGATCACCCCTCGAGAAAGTTATTCCGAGGACTCGTCACATCTCACAGGCCCTGTTTTTTTTTTTTTGTCTTCACTTCAAATCAGCGCTCACAGCACTATGTATTAGCTAGTGCCGTTTTTGATCCCAACGCAGTTGTTGCCAGCAGGCGTAGATATGACGACAGCGCATGAGGTGGTCTATCCAACTCGTGGTCAAACAGAAGAGCCCCTCTGTACTCTCCCCTCCTGCGGTACTTCGCCTTCGATTTGTAATGCGAGAAGAGGTCAGCACTCTCTTCCCTCTGTGTACACACGAACTAACACTATCCACTAGGCCAGGAGCGGAAGCGAGAGAAAAACTCACTTTGCAAGAAAAGATCGCCGGGATTTTAACCCCTGACCTGACCCGTAGAAGGCCTCGAGGACACCAACTAGACCACCGGGGCGACCGGCAATCCTGATTGGTCACCTTTCGACAAGCAGTCAGCGTCTTTTGTGTGGTCCGTTTTTCTGCAGCAGGAGCGGTCCGGCAGCAGCGGCCGTGGGGTCCGGGATTGGAAGTGGGCGGGCCAATGGCGAGCGCGATTCTGCTTCAGTCACGAACGCAAGCCTCCGCAGCTTGCAGGCGGTCCTCATGATGAACGATGCATCAGGTTTGTGCGGCTGCCGAACCGACACGGTTGTGAACCCAAGCAAATTGGAAGGCCCACACAAAACGAGAGAGGTTCGACCTTACAGCACGAAGTAACGGGCAGCTCGACTAGCTAAGTGGAGATTCGCCCACACTGCCCGGTTGATGATGAAGGCATCTTGGGCCTGGCGGCTGTTACAGATGGTCACGTGTTTAGCAAAGCAGTACATATACAAATCTTCCTCCAAGAGGCACATCGTGTTGTGCATGCGGTTTCAAGACCCCGACACACGGGTGGGACGGAAGGGTGCTGTGTTGCGTACAGGCCGAATCGCTACTCCTGTAGTGCCGTTGTACCTCCCTGCATCTGTTCTGCCGCTGCATGCGGTCTACTCGGACTCGAACTGACGTAAATAGAGGCCCAGGTAAGTGAAGGGCTCCCATGCTCGCTGCACCCTGCTGTTTGATTTCTCGCGGTTCCGGCCGCTCCACAGCTTTCGCCTCAACAACTGGCCTCATTGCCTCGTTTGCTGTCGCGCCCAGCTTCGCCAGCAGGCGCGTCAGCCTCCGAAGCGACCGATGGTGTATACGGCCACCATGACCCACCGGTGGTAGCAGCTACAACACCAATAGCAGGAGGTGGTACATGGGCTGTTGACGGCGCGACGACGGGCGCCGGTGGTTTTTGTGGTAGGGGGAAGGTGTTGCTGACCACGGAGGTTTCGCAGCCCACCGTTAACCCCACTTGGCCCGTTCCTGAGGCGTCTTGGCTGCACGCGGATGCCCAGGTGGAAGATCTGGACGGCACGCGCCGTGAGTGCTGCTTGCGTTTTAGGCGTGCGTGGGGTTGCATCGTTTTTGTAGGACGTGTTTTGTCTTGTGCGTCTTCTGCGGACGGCGATGCTTACGTTGTTCCCGATGCATTCTCTTCCGTGTTGCTCCCATTCCTAGCTGCTGCTGCTGCTGCTGCTGCTGCTGCTGCTGCTGCTGCTGCGTCCGCGGTTGTATATCTGATGGCTGGAGGAGATCCTAGACGACGTCCTCACTGACTAACCCCGCGCCCAATGGTTATGCTTTGGTTTTGTGGAGGGGAGCAGTACTCTTGCTGCGGGTCTTTGCCGTTGACCCGGACTCTGCGAGCGCCCGAGATCCTTCGCCCCCAAGGCAGTCACCGGCACCACCACCTGCTCAAGCCTCGGGGCATACCGCGGTCGATGCCGCAGCAAGGGCAAGGGATGGCACGGCGACCCTCGGGCCAGTGGTGTGGGAGTGCACGATAGACGTCAAAGGGTTAACGGCACTGCCGGTCGGATCGAGGCTGTCCCACTTGTGGGCGCTGCCCGCGGACTGTTTGCTTGTAGAGATGTCTAACGGGGGCCTCTACGCCGCAGGTTCGTTTTTTCATTTTTTGTACACGCTACGATCCTGTAGCGTAGTTCGGGGGGCTCGCGGGAGTGACATTATTATTGTTTGGATGGGCGGTGAATACATCCCACGCCTAGTAGGGGGCTATATTGGAAGGAGTCACGCCATTGTCTTGTCTTGCTACTGCTTTGTCTTGCGTTCTATTCCTCGAGACTGTCAGTGATTCGCGAACGGTTGTTGTTTTCACATTGTTGATTCGGAATGAAGCAAAAACACGTGGAGCTCTGCCTTGAGGATACCGTCTCTCCGCCACGGCACGCAGCAACGGGGGGTACTATGTGTCCACGCGGGTGTCGAGGCTGAGTACAGCAGTCGGCCTTTCTCAGTAGAGCCAGTTCGACGCAACGCTATTATTCACTGCACAAATCGCGTGTGTGCCGCTTTGCTCGCGTCTTGGCTTGTTTGACGATTTCATGCGCCGAGGGCCTCGGCCCGATGGCATTTGCCCCTCCATCGAACTAACCTTGACAGTCCTCGTGTCGTGCGGCCCCACTTGTACTCAAGACTGGGTAGTCCAAGCGCTGTCGAGCAACTCGGCCCTCCCTGAGGCCGTGGCGGGGGGTAGGACCCGGGGCGGCGGCGGCGGCGGGGGCGACGCATGGCGAGACGATTCTGACAAGGAAGACGATGAGGACCAAGAGCCCCTGGACGAGGTGCCGCGCAGTCAAGCCCAAAAGCAAAAAGCACAACATACCCTTAGAGGCGGAGAGATGGGCACGCCCCCTAGGCCTATTTTCATAAGCTCGATTGCTCCACAACCAAGAAGGCGGTGCCCTCCATCACCAAGAATGGTGGTTTTGGACACGTCTCGTCGAGGGCGTTCCGCACACGTATCGGGCTCTTTCCGCACCCACGTCTCTGAGCCACTGCGCTGAAACCAGTAGTTTACAGTAGACAGGCACCAGCCGGAAGACCGACCAGAATGAGTGACTCTCGGCTTATCTGTCCCTATCGATCTTTATGGTTACAATATGTTGCTGGGGTTGTTGCCGCTGCTGATATTGCTGGTTCTCCCATACCCTCGTCTGGTAACAATCACCCCGCTGTTATTTGGGTTCCGATCTGCTTGGCCGATGTGCGAATCGCTTCTACCGATCGACCCGATGGGTTCTACCATTCAATGGGTTCTACGCGCACCAATCGACATTTCAGATGCTGCGACGAGTGCTGGTGTTGGAGGCCGAGGCGGAGAGAGGAAGGGTAGAACTAGCCGCTCAGTTGGAGAAGGCAGCACCCGGCGACAGAAAGCACTGCGCTGCGGCTGAAAGCGCGTGCGCCATGGACACCCTGAGGTTGGAATTATCCAATCAGCAGGTACGAAAGCGCAGCAAAAATAAGGCTTATCATATTCTCGGACGTGGATAGCGTCCCCATGCATCGCAGTTTTGAAGGGTACGAAGAAGTTCCGTGGTGAAATAGTTGCGTTTGGTTGTTTTCGTTGTTTGTCCCTCGGAGCTTGATGAGTCAAACGCGGGTATGGGACAAGCGACACTGATACGGATTGCCTCCACTTGTTGCAGGAGAAGCGATGTTCCATGCTTAAAAGCCGTGATAAACGCTTCAAAATCGCCTGGGAATGAGTACATCTTATAGAGGTCGGTGTAATCGTGTGAAGAACAAACTTGGTGGATGGCTGCTGGGACAGGGGGTTCCGACGTTTCGATGGGAAAATATTCAACGTCAGTCGGGAGGTACTCTCGGCTATTAACACCCTGCGAATGTCGCGACTGGTTTTTTTGAAACGTTTCACCAGGAGTTGCTAGAGGCAGAGGAGGCGTCTTTTTTGAGGGAGAAACGGTACCTGGAGGCCGAGACATTGGCGGTCGAGGAGCTCCTTAAAGGGATAGCCGAAGCCGAAGGTGATACCCACCTCGCTGCGTCAAACTTGTACTATTTCAGCTGTACCCTTTCATTTTGTTCGTGGTGTGTAACGTCTTTTCTGTAATTTGTTAGGCGATATTTTGGGATGTTGTTATCTCTGGTACGCGGTGACGTCTCCTTGTATTCAATAATGTGTAGGGCGAATCAGCCAAATCAACGGACAAAGCTTACCCACCTGAACACGATATTTTTGTTTGCTTTTGATTGAGTTCGGTATCCAGTCTAGTGCGATCGGCAGTTCTCGCGCCTTTGGCGTAGATGGGGTCTGCCTGACCTTGTGTTCGCCCGGCCATGATGCTGCTCTTGGACGTTGTTCCTTGTGTACTGCTCGAATATTTTACTGCAGACATTCAGCGCGCATGACGTATTCTTCGACATGACCGGTCGGCTATCTGTTGCGGTGTTGCTGATGTGTCATGGAGTTGGTGTCATGTAATGGGTGGGCTGTATTCTTCTGTAGGGTCGCGACATTGGTCGACGAGAGCATGCCCCGTACATCGCCCCATTCTGCCAGATTTGGCGAAGTGCGTGTTCAGATTTTCCGTTGTACTGCTCCCAACCTCGCTGCAGAAGCTGCAATCGAAGACGGCCGACAGCTAGAGTCGGAGCAGAGGGAAACCTTCAAGAGCCACGTATTGTTGGAGGCGAGGAGGGCGAGGTTAACAGCTGAGCTACAGGTGCCTACCACAGTTAGATTTTCCTTGGTTCTCCCCACCATCCCATCCAAGGGAGACAGCTCACATTTTCCTCGCTGAGGGCCCAGTATATTCGGTTTAGGTTGTTGTGTCGTCCCTGAGCGTTTTGAGTTTTTTGCCATGCTCCTCTCGATCTGATGGCCATATAGGAGATGGTGCCCCGGATCTGGCTACCATAACCTGGCTGTTGTGTTCACCTCAGAGCTACGTCCACTCTGTGGTGGACCATGCACCTTAGGATACTAGCTTTAGGCTTTCAACTCAAGCGAAGGCACGACTCACGCCAACCCATGAATAGTCATTCTAGGTCGTCCGTATGTTTGATGCGATGCATCCGTTGATCGGCTACGTGATTTGTACTTGAAATGTCTCAGGCCATCTACCCCATTAAGTACCAGGGCAGCCTCAAAGAGTTTACCATTCGAGGGCTTGAGCTTCCGGCCGACTTGTACAGCATCGACGACGAAAGGATCTCATCCGCACTGGGCTATACTGCCCACCTGGTCTGCATGCTGGCCAAGTACCTCCAGATTTCTCTGCGGTATCAGGTCATCTACAATGCATCGAGGTATGTACGTGATGAGGTGTGTTTGAGACGGCCCGCGGCCAAACGCCGCCGCAGCCCTGAGTATGGAATGTCTTCAGGACTTGAGCATGACTTGTCTGAAGAACGTAACCACTGTCGTAGTGCCAATGGACTACCTAAAAGCATTGCAGTATCAAGCACACGCGTCGAGCTTGAGAAAGAGGCATACCACAAAATGCGGCAGGAGGGGGTCAGAAATGCGAACGAGGGAGCGTCTTATTTGGCGTCACAACAACAACAACAGTCCGAGCACCCCCGCGCGGTGGTTGTCAAACTGGCACCGGCAGGTCTGCCGTCCGAGACAACGTCACCGGGGTTGGCGTAGCCTACCCGCTGTTTAGGAGAGGGGTAGAGAAGGAGAGGTTTGACCGCGGCGTGTATCTGCTCGGGCGAGACGTGGAGCAGATGTTGACGGCCAGAGGGGTGCCGGCGAAGAGAGGCAGCGGCCAACTGCTGCGAAACCTGGAGCGCCTCATGTCGATCGACGGAGCGTAGGCTTGGGGTCTGGTCTGTTGCAGTGCACGGATGGGAATTGGTGTTGCGTTGTTGGCTCGGAGTGGTGTTCCTACTTCGAGAATGGTCGCGTACCAAGAAGGCCATCCCGCAGAAGATGCGCAAACTACCCATCCAGTGGCACGGATAAGCACATTCGTACGTTTCCCGTCAATGGTTTCCGTTGTCGGCGTCAGTCACACGAGGTGTCGAACGCACGAGGTCATCAAGTTTTCCCTCTTGCGAAGAAATCGAGAGGGTGATTGTCCTCCGTAGCAAGGTGAACAGCAGCCAGGAATAATCGTTCTTGGGATGTGTTGTCGAAGGACGTGAGAATGAGACTCGTCTACGCCAGCTATTCGGGATCAGCATTCTGTTGTCGAAAATGAGCACACTTCGGCACAGGGAACCCGCCCCCCCAAACATATACGCGCAATTTACGCCTCGGTGGTTAGCATTTCTGGGGTGAAATTAAACGGTTCATTAGCGGAGGTTTCACTCTTCATTTGAGGCGAGGAATAGCCAAGCGTGGCCGAAGTTACCCAAGCGTGCTAGTTTTAAGAAAAGTGGAAGCGTGAGAGAGGGGAACTTTGTGGGCATCGCCACATCTCCAACTCCGAAACGCCATCCGAGATTCACCTGAACGATCACTGCGCTACCTTCCGAGCAGATGGCACACTCCCTACATTTAGACCGAATTTCAAAACTCGATTTGCTCCACGAGCAAGAATAGGCTAACACCAAAAGTCTAATCGTGGTTTTCGCGACATCTCGTCGAGGTCTGTCCGTAGACTTTCGAGCGCTTTCCGCACTCACTTGGTTGTGGGGCAACCGAGCTTTGAAGATCGGTCTAATGTAGGGGGGGTACCATCTCTCCGCCTCTTTCGGCAATCGGTGAATCCTTCTTCGTAAACACCCCCCGGGACGGCACTCTGTAGAACACTGTTCTCGCCAGATCTGGCTGGTCGCATGTGTGTGCGTTCCTACAGTACTGTACCCCTACTGTATTTAGATACATATCTATTGTACTTCGCCCCCCCCCCTTCCGCTCTCTTTCACTGCTGTTCAGGATATGCAACATTACAGCTTCGGAGTGAAAAGTGTATCACCCGAAGGAATACAAGGTAGCAACTGGCCGGCTATATTATCACAACCGCGCATGCTGTATGTTCTTTCTTCACCTGTCGTACCCAAGTAGAAAAGCGCCCAAGTAGATGGGGCGGGCACGCACAGACTCTCACATGACGCCCGGTCAAAGGGTCCCCGATCGTGGCCAATTGAAGCATTTGATCTTTTTCACCGCACTGAGACTGACGTCTTTTCATTGGTCAGCCGGTCAGCACGGTCGATGCAAATATTAAAGACACACGCGGCCTCGTCACGACCCTCACGGGCGGGCAGGCTAAGAACACATAGGTGGCACAATCTATCTCACAGCCTACATCTGGCAGACAGTGCCCTCGACCCTTCGACGGCGGTGGTATCTCCTTCTCTCACGGAATCACAAATCTATTGTTTGGACAACCGGCGTACAACCTGGATTTCCTGCTACTACTACACAGCAGTACAGTAGTACTACTGCGGCGGCTGCGGATACTGGATTCCTGGACGTGTTCACCTGAAGGAAAAGCCAAGAGAACCTGCGAGCAGGACTTGACTCCCTCGTGACTTCCTAGTGGCTCGCTAGGTTCGGACGAGGGTATGTGTGGAGCTATGGCAGTCTATGTATTGATGTTTTGTTTGATTCATCTAGCTGCTGGCACGATGACTGTTGAATCTTGGGAGTGTACGATCATCAAATTGGGAGATGCAGCATACCACGATATCCTGGCTTCGGCTGGGCTTGAAATAACCCTTTTGCTGTACTCCGCTCTTTGCATCAGTGGCTTCCTAGATTCGAGCGAATGCATTTGTGTAGCTGAGATGTGTGTCTACGTGAAAGAACATGTGGAGAGAGTCGTATTGGCATTCGCATCAAGCGCATTGCGCATTTTTCGAATTTTGGCCCCCTTCCAGGGACCTTGATTTTTACCCGCTGGCACTGACGTCTTTTAATTGGTCAGCCGGTTAGCGCGGTCGATGCTAATAATAAAAACACACTCAAAAGACACACACTGATACCAACATAATTGAGAGACGGTATACCTTCGAGCTGGCTCGTCTTCTGTCAGTACGAACTGGTCATGTCTTCAAACGTCATGGACTGCTGGTCGACCAATTTCCACCACGGCCTTAAGATTGGGATCTCAGTAGTATCGATAAAGACGATGATGATGGCAGTGAGGGGAATTCATGTTGTAGCGATAAAGGAGGAGGAGGGGGAACGGGAGGATAAGACAAAGACCAAGACAGCAATCGAGGAGGGAATTACGGCGTGGAAGAGAGCAACAGGTTCGAGCCAGATAACCTCCCCCAACACAACCGACGCAGGGCTAGAGAACTGCCGAAATATCGCTGGGTAAATGATGATGAGAATGATGGTGGTGCAAGGATGATGATGGTGAAAGCGCTCCAAAACGGACTCGAGTGCAAGGTAGCAGCCTTGGTAGACACGTGGAGCTTTCTTTTGTTGCTGCCGCTTCTGGCTTTGATCCTGAGAGCAGCCTCCTCCATGCCGCCCCCCCGCGGGCTCCCAGCTGACGGTATTTTGAATTGTTTAGACTAGTGCTTTAACCGCACTGAGATTGACGTCTTTCCATTTTGGTCAGCCGGTTAGTGCGGTAGACGCCAACGACAAAGACACGTACACCAGAAGAGAGCAAGAGCTTCGAGCCAGATGATCTTCCCTACCGCAAACGACGCACGGCTAGAGAAGAACTACGGATACATGGCTGTGAAATGACGACGAAAGTGATGGTGGTGAAAGCACTCCTAAACAAACTCAAGTGCAAGGTGGCAGCCTTGGTGGATATGTCAGGTGTTCCCCTGTTGCTACCGTTTCTGTCTATTATCCGGAGAAGAGCTTGGCCTCCCCCATGCCGCCCCCTCACGAGGTTCCAGTTCATGGCATTGAGAAGTGTTTGTGTTTTTCACAAGCGCGGAGCTAACCCGACTCCAGCAAAAAGGTTCATTAATCCACCCCAGTCGCGTTGACAGCCACTTGACTGACTCGAGAAACTGGAATCAATTAAGGCAGCGGTGGTACCAGCGTGAAGCAGCGAGAGTACCCAATCATCGTCGGCAGAGAGAGGTGATCGTTTTAGACCTACATCTAACGTAGTTTCATAGCTGTAGACGAAATAGCCGAGCTCCAGATTCTCTCTCCCTCGTAGACACTGCAGTACCAAAGCAAGAATTATCTACAGTACGAAGTCGGACAGCGGCGGCGTGCCCCAAGCTTGTACTACCTTGCCTACCACGGTGTTGCTGTACAGGCAGCAGCACTTCAGACAGCAGTACGCTGCAGTTGACAGACGTTCATGTTGGTAAAGTGTGGGACAGGGGACAAGGGGCGGAGTGATGCTGCTGTTGTCGAACGTATTGTGTGGGCGTGTAGTCGGTGTGGGCACGCCAACGTGCTGCAGGGATTGTAGGTGTACCTCTTCGGGCTTGCGTAACTTGTCTTCTTGCTAATGATGTGCGTGTTTTTTAGATCTTCTGATGGCTCTACTGTAGCATTTTTGTGACCACGGACCGGGTCTCTGCTAGATTTTGGGATTAGCAACCGACACGAGTTTATTGTGAAGACAACATCGACGACGACGACTAGACTAAGTATCTTCGTGAACGATCTCTTCGAAGGGTGCGATGCCTAGAAAATTACAAAGGGCGGCCCCGCTGGTGCTGCGGCCGGTGCAATTTGCACACACTCCGTTGCGCGCCAACTTCCTCTCTTTCGGTAGACGGAGACAGCCGTGAAACATCTCTACAGTAGTAGGCAATACGTTAGATTCATAGAGAAACTATTTAGTTGTTCTGTGGACTCTCACATGGTACGTAACAGCTTTCGTCCTCATCTCTTCTTTCATCATCACACACAGCAAATACCACACACAGCATGTACGCCGGACTGTGGACAGAAAGCGCAGCAACAGAGGAACCCTGCACATGTCTACAAAGCCTGCTACCTTGCACTCGAGTTCGTTTCTGTGTGTGGTCGGCCCATCCATCGGTTCTGGCGCCGTTGTAGTTTGCAGGCCTTTCGGCGTACATGTACATAATAATTATCGGACGTGTCAGCCGGGGTCACACAACAAGAAAGTGACACAGGAGCTTCTTTCACCCTATTGTTTTCGTTTGATAGCCCCATGCTGTGCTTGCCTTAGTCAGTTGTTATCGCGAGAAGGGTTCTCAGACATCTTTTCCCTCGTTGATACAAGTTGACCGCGATTTTTTCTCACGAACTGGATCGCTTTTTTTCTTTTCATGTATTTGAGCTACGTATGTGGTACGTTGCCGAAAACTTCAGAATAGTGTTTACACGTTGATAGTATATCTTTAGGACTAACTAACGCGTTCTGGTTGGTCAGGCGTTGTTCGGCGTTCGTTCTGGCTGCCGATTCCTCTCCAGCGCCATCTCCCCGTTCCGCATCGCGTGCGCAGCCGCGGCCGCCCAGTTCGCGGCCGCTAGGCCGTGCTTTGGCCGTGGGTGAGGGTTAGGGTGAGGGTTAGGGTGAGGGTTAGGGTAGATGTGGGGTGAGCAACCTAGCCTTGCTCGCGTGAAGAACCTTGCCTTGCTACGTTCAACATCGGGTAGTTCTAAAGAGTTACTATCAAAGTGTAACCAAGGCTCGAAAAATATCCCAGGAAATAGTCCCTCCGGAGAGAGAATGGAACCCACACCCTGCCCCTGGGGGGTCGTGCAGATTGACCAGTACAGGTAGACCTGTAGACCTGTATACAAGACACATACCATATTGCAGGGTACACGGCGGTACCGTCTTTTTAGGCGTTACCATTTTAGGCGGTACCGAAATATGGCGGGAATTTTTAGGCGGGAAGAGGTTTTCGTTTTTTCGGCGGGAACGCCTTTGGCGGATCCGGTACCCGTGAATTATGGCGGTACTTTGCACGGCGGTTCGCAGTACGGCGGGAACGCCTTTGGCGGATCCGGTACCCGCGAAATATGGCGGTACTTTGCACGGCGGATCGCAGTACGGCGGGAACGCCTTTGGCGGATCCGGTACCCGCGAAATATGGCGGTACTTTCCACGGCGGTTTGCAGTACGGCGGGAACGCCTTCGGCGGTACCGGTACCACCAAAATCCGGCGGTACCCTTCACTCGCGGTTCGCATTATGGCGGGAACGCCTTCGGCCCTAGCTATATTATAGATTTACATTAATATATCAGGATATATGATACATTTCTGTGGCGGCTGAACGAACAGCAAGCCGTCTCTCTTATTTCACGTACATGCGCCTGTGCACACAACGAAGGTGATGGATTGTGATTTTGTAGATCACAAAAAAAAAAGTTTCGAGAAGACCAGCTGGAGAAGACAAAACACAAAAGACCAGAAGCTAAGAAAAAAGACGAGACAAGAGACCAGACAAAAGGCAAAAGACACAAGTCACTGCCACAAGAAAGCATGAACGACGAAAAACACAGAAAAGACAAAATACATACTTGTACTACGATGAACGGACACCGAACAAAACAACAAAACCACAACCACACTCAGCAGGGGCACCCCTCTTGCACGGCCGCGGGCTACTCTACACTCTCGGCTACCCTAGTCTACAAGGAGACGTCAATCGCCGTGTTCGCTCTCTCCTCCTGTGCAACCGCGGATTTCTCTGCGCTATTGGCGGCCATAGCTCGTGCCCACGCAACAGCAGCGTCGTACGCGCGGACCTCGGCAAGCAGGTGCTTGTTGAGCCGGACCAGCATCATGCGCTCGACCCTGTGCGAAAGCATGTTGCAGCAAAGGTCGCCGATGAGGTGAGCGAGCGCTGAAAAATTGCGCTCGGCCTGGCAGCTGGTGGCCTCGATCCCAAGGTGCAACCGAGCGATAAACGCCAGGTACGGCATCTCGGCCGGAGACGTAACCTTCCCAGTCGCCGCGGACACGCTGTCAGTGCCCCGCCGGTTCCAAAATCCCAGAAGGTTGAAGTCATCGACGTCGACCTGAGGCTGCTCTGCCAAGTATACCAGCATCTCTCGCTCGATCAGCACGCGCCGGCCCGTGCCGGCAGCCTGAGGATCGGTGGTGCCGCTGCCACCACCACCGCCTGCCACTGCCTCCGCCAAACGTGCAGCGCGCCGTTGCTCCAATCTCGAAGTAGGCTTCTTCTTCTTGCGAGCAGGTTCTGCGGTGTCGACGTTGACCACTGGCGCAGGCGCAGGCGTGGACGGAGCAGACTCTTGCGCGAACTTGCCGGTGAACGCCTTCAAGTCCGCTTCGGCTTGGGTCTTGAGGTCCGAGGAGCCGTTTCTGAGATGTGTGTCGTCCAGCGTTTTCCGCCTTGGATCCAGCAGCACGGACAATCGCTCCACCCTCTGCAGCGCCTTCCCCACTCCCTTCTCGTCCATCATCTCCCGTAGCACCTGGACCACGTCCTGCGCTTCTAGGGTGAGGCCTGTCACCTGGGTCTCCTCCGTGGAGATGCCGTCCAGCGAAGACTCGTTCTGCCCCTCCCCCTGCCCCCCCGGTGTTGGCCATCGGGGTTGGGTTTTTGTCGCTTGGCAACGAGGTTGTAAAACAAGCTGCCCCCCCCGGTGTTTTCCATCGGGGTTGGGTTTTCGTCGCTTGGCAACGACGTTGTAAAACAAGC